CTGGGGCAGGTGACCATGGTAGTGTCTGGGGCAGGTGGACCATGGTAGTGTCTGGGGCAGGTGGACCATGGTAGTGTCTGGGGCAGGTGGACCATGGTAGTGTCTGGGGCAGGTGGACCATGGTAGTGTCTGGGGCAGGTGGACCATGGTAGTGTCTGGGGCAGGTGGACCATGGTAGTGTCTGGGGCAGGTGGACCATGGTAGTGTCTGGGGCAGGTGGACCATGGTAGTGTCTGGGGCAGGTGGACCATGGTAGTGTCTGGGGCAGGTGGACCATGGTAGTGTCTGGGGCAGGTGGACCATGGTAGTGTCTGGGGCAGGTGGACCATGGTAGTGTCTGGGGCAGGTGGACCATGGTAGTGTCTGGGGCAGGTGGACCATGGTAGTGTCTGGGGCAGGTGGACCATGGTAGGTGGGGCAGGACCATGGTAGTGTCTGGGGCAGGGACCATGGTAGTGTCTGGGGCAGGTGGACCATGGTAGTGTCTGGGGCAGGTGGACCATGGTAGTGTCTGGGGCAGGTGGACCATGGTAGTGTCTGGGGCAGGTGGACCATGGTAGTGTCTGGGGCAGGGACCATGGTAGTGTCTGGGGCAGGTGGACCATGGTAGTGTCTGGGGCAGGTGGACCATGGTAGTGTCTGGGGCAGGTGGACCATGGTAGTGTCTGGGGCAGGTGGACCATGGTAGTGTCTGGGGCAGGTGGACCATGGTAGTGTCTGGGGCAGGTGGACCATGGTAGTGTCTGGGGCAGGTGGACCATGGTAGTGTCTGGGGCAGGTGGACCATGGTAGTGTCTGGGGCAGGTGGACCATGGTAGTGTCTGGGGCAGGTGGACCATGGTAGTGTCTGGGGCAGGTGGGGCAGGGACCATGGTAGTGTCTGGGGCAGGTGGGGCAGGTGGACCATGGTAGTGTCTGGGGCAGGTGGACCATGGTAGTGTCTGGGGCAGGGGCATGGTAGTGTCTGGGGCAGGACCATGGTAGTGTCTGGGGCAGGTGGACCCATGGTAGTGTCTGGGGCAGGGACCATGGTAGTGTCTGGGGCAGGTAGACCATGGTAGTGTCTGGGGCAGGTGGACCATGGTAGTGTCTGGGGCAGGTGGACCATGGTAGTGTCTGGGGCAGGTGGACCATGGTAGTGTCTGGGGCAGGGACCATGGTAGTGTCTGGGGCAGGTGGACCATGGTAGTGTCTGGGGCAGGTGGACCATGGTAGTGTCTGGGGCAGGTGGACCATGGTAGTGTCTGGGGCAGGTGGACCATGGTAGTGTCTGGGGCAGGTGGACCATGGTAGTGTCTGGGGCAGGTGGACCATGGTAGTGTCTGGGGCAGGTGGACCATGGTAGTGTCTGGGGCAGGTGGACCATGGTAGTGTCTGGGGCAGGGTGGAGTGTCTGGGGCATGGTAGTGTCTGGGGCAGGTGGACCATGGTAGTGTCTGGGGCAGGTGGACCATGGTAGTGTCTGGGGCAGGTGGACCATGGTAGTGTCTGGGGCAGGTGGACCATGGTAGTGTCTGGGGCAGGTGGACCATGGTAGTGTCTGGGGCAGGTAGACCATGGTAGTGTCTGGGGCAGGGACCATGGTAGTGTCTGGGGCATGGTAGTGTCTGGGGCAGGTGGACCATGGTAGTGTCTGGGGCAGGTGGACCATGGTAGTGTCTGGGGCAGGTGGACCATGGTAGTGTCTGGGGCAGGTAGTGTCTGGGGCAGGTGGTAGTGTCTGGGGCAGGTGGACCATGGTAGTGTCTGGGGCAGGTGGACCATGGTAGTGTCTGGGGCAGGTGGACCATGGTAGTGTCTGGGGCAGGTGGGGCAGGTGGACCATGGTAGTGTCTGGGGCAGGTGGACCATGGTAGTGTCTGGGGCAGGTGGACCATGGTAGTGTCTGGGGCAGGTGGACCATGGTAGTGTCTGGGGCAGGTGGACCATGGTAGTGTCTGGGGCAGGTGGACCATGGTAGTGTCTGGGGCAGGTGGACCATGGTAGTGTCTGGGGCAGGTGGACCATGGTAGTGTCTGGGGCAGGTGGACCATGGTAGTGTCTGGGGCAGGTGGACCATGGTAGTGTCTGGGGCAGGTGGACCATGGTAGTGTCTGGGGCAGGTGGACCATGGTAGTGTCTGGGGCAGGTGGACCATGGTAGTGTCTGGGGGGCATGGTAGTGTCTGGGGCAGGTGGACCATGGTAGTGTCTGGGGCAGGTGGACCATGGTAGTGTCTGGGGCAGGGGACCATGGTAGTGTCTGGGGCAGGTGGACCATGGTAGTGTCTGGGGCAGGTGGACCATGGTAGTGTCTGGGGGGGACAGGTGGGGCAGGGACCATGGTAGTGTCTGGTAGTGTCTGGGGCAGGTGGACCATGGTAGTGTCTGGGGCAGGTGGACCATGGTAGTGTCTGGGGCAGGTGAACCATGGTAGTGTCTGGGGCAGGTGGACCATGGTAGTGTCTGGGGCAGGTGGACCATGGTAGTGTCTGGGGCAGGTGGACCATGGTAGTGTCTGGGGCAGGTGGACCATGGTAGTGTCTGGGGCAGGGGACCATGGTAGTGTCTGGGGCAGGTGGACCATGGTAGTGTCTGGGGCAGGTGGACCATGGTAGTGTCTGGGGCAGGTAGACCATGGTAGTGTCTGGGGCAGGTGGACCATGGTAGTGTCTGGGGCAGGTGGACCATGGTAGTGTCTGGGGCAGGTGGACCATGGTAGTGTCTGGGGCAGGTGGACCATGGTAGTGTCTGGGGCAGGTGGACCATGGTAGTGTCTGGGGCAGGTAGACCATGGTAGTGGGGCAGGTAGACCATGGTAGTGTCTGGGGCAGGACCATGGTAGTGTCTGGGGCAGGTGGACCATGGTAGTGTCTGGGGCAGGTGGACCATGGTAGTGTCTGGGGCAGGTGGACCATGGTAGTGTCTGGGGCAGGTGGACCATGGTAGTGTCTGGGGCAGGTGAACCATGGTAGTGTCTGGGGCAGGTAGACCATGGTAGTGTCTGGGGCAGGAGGACCATGGTAGTGTCTGGGGCAGGTGGACCATGGTAGTGTCTGGGGCAGGTGAACCATGGTAGTGTCTGGGGCAGGTGGACCATGGTAGTGTCTGGGGCAGGTGGACCATGGTAGTGTCTGGGGCAGGTGGACCATGGTAGTGTCTGGGGCAGGTGAACCATGGTAGTGTCTGGGGCAGGTGGACCATGGTAGTGTCTGGGGCAGGTGGAACATGGTAGTGTCTGGGGCAGGTGGAACATGGTAGTGTCTGGGGCAGGTGGAACATGGTAGTGTCTGGGGCAGGTGGACCATGGTAGTGTCTGGGGCAGGTGGACCATGGTAGTGTCTGGGGCAGGGGCAGGTGGACCATGGTAGTGTCTGCAGGTGGACCATGGTAGTGTCTGGGGCAGGTGGACCATGGTAGTGTCTGGGGCAGGTGGACCATGGTAGTGTCTGGGGCAGGTGGACCATGGTAGTGTCTGGGGCAGGTGGACCATGGTAGTGTCTGGGGCAGGTAGACCATGGTAGTGTCTGGGGCAGGTGGACCATGGTAGTGTCTGGGGCAGGTGGACCATGGTAGTGTCTGGGGCAGGTGAACCATGGTAGTGTCTGGGGCAGGTGGACCATGGTAGTGTCTGGGGCAGGTGGACCATGGTAGTGTCTGGGGCAGGTGAACCATGGTAGTGTCTGGGGCAGGTGAACCATGGTAGTGTCTGGGGCAGGTGGAACAGGTAGTGTCTGGGGCAGGTGGAACATGGTAGTGTCTGGGGCAGGTGGAACATGGTAGTGTCTGGGGCAGGTGGACCATGGTAGTGTCTGGGGCAGGTGGACCATGGTAGTGTCTGGGGCAGGTGGACCATGGTAGTGTCTGGGGCAGGTGAACCATGGTAGTGTCTGGGGCAGGTGAACCATGGTAGTGTCTGGGGCAGGTAGACCATGGTAGTGTCTGGGGCAGGTGAACCATGGTAGTGTCTGGGGCAGGTGGACCATGGTAGTGTCTGGGGCAGGTGGACCATGGTAGTGTCTGGGGCAGGTGGACCATGGTAGTGTCTGGGGCAGGTGGACCATGGTAGTGTCTGGGGCAGGTGGACCATGGTAGTGTCTGGGGCAGGTGGACCATGGTAGTGTCTGGGGCAGGTGGACCATGGTAGTGTCTGGGGCAGGTGAACCATGGTAGTGTCTGGGGCAGGTGGACCATGGTAGTGTCTGGGGCAGGTGGACCATGGTAGTGTCTGGGGCAGGTGGACCATGGTAGTGTCTGGGGCAGGTGGACCATGGTAGTGTCTGGGGCAGGAGGACCATGGTAGTGTCTGGGGCAGGTGGACCATGGTAGTGTCTGGGGCAGGTGGACCATGGTAGTGTCTGGGGCAGGTGGACCATGGTAGTGTCTGGGGCAGGTGGACCATGGTAGTGTCTGGGGCAGGTGGACCATGGTAGTGTCTGGGGCAGGTGAACCATGGTAGTGTGTGGGGCAGGTGGACCATGGTAGTGTCTGGGCCAGGTGGACCATGGTAGTGTCTGGGGCAGGTGGACCTTGGTAGTGTCTGGGGCAGGTGGACCATGGTAGTGTCTGGGGCAGGTGGATCATAGTAGTGTCTGGGGCAGGTGGACCATGGTAGTGTCTGGGGCAGGTGGACCATGGTAGTGTTTGGGGCAGGAGGACCATAGTAGTGTCTGGGGCAGGTGTCTGGGGCAGGTGGACTATGGTAGTGTCTGGGGTAGGAGGACCATGGTAGTGTCTGGGGCAGGTGGACCATGGTAGTGTCTGGGGCACCAACCCTGTACCCCCGCACCAAGCCTGTATCCCCGCACCAAGCCTGTACCCCCGCACCAACCCTGTACCTCCGCACCAAGCCTGTACTCACGCACCAAGCCTGTACCTCCGCACCAAGCCTGTACCCCCGCACCAAGCCTGTACCCCCGCACCAAGCCTGTACCCCCGCACCAAGCCTGTACCCCTGCACCAAGCCTGTATTTCCGCACCAAGCCTGTAGTCCCGCACCAAGCCTGTACCCCCGCACCAACCATGTATCCCCGCACCAACCCTGTACCCCCGCACCAAGCCTGCACCCCCGCACAAAGCCTGTACCCCCCGCACCAAGGCTGTACCCTCGCACCAAGCCTGTACTCCCGCACCAAGCCTGTACCCCCGCACCAAGCCTGCACCCCCGCACAAAGCCTGTACCCCCCGCACCAAGGCTGTACCCTCGCACCAAGCATGTACCCCCGCACCAAGCCTGTACCCCCGCACCAAGCCTGTACCCCTGCACCAAGCCTGTACCCTCTCACCAAGCCTGTACCCCCCGCACCAAGCCTGTACCCCCGCAACAAGCCTGTACCCCTGCAACAAGCCTGTACCCCTGCACCAAGCCTGTACCCCTGCACCAAGCCTGTACCCCTGCACCAAGCCTGTACCCCCGCACCAATCCTGTACCCCTGCACCAAGTCTGTACCCCTGCACCAAGCCTGTACCCTCGCACCAAGCCTGTACCCCTACACCAAACCTGTACCCTCTCACCAAGCCTGTACCCCCCGCACCAAGCCTGTACCCCCGCAACAAGCCTGTACCCCTGCACCAAGCCTGTACCCCTGCACCAAGCCTGTACCCCTGCAACAAGCCTGTACCCCTGCACCAATCCTGTACCCCTGCACCAAGCAGGGCACAGTTGCTGAGACCCGTAGGGAACACAGGTGTGGGGGCGGAGTATAGGAGGACAGCCGCTCCCTCTGACGTTACGGGCTCACCATAGCCCGTGCTACATGGACACTCCGTCCTGAATAGCTAAATCTTTAACAACAACTACATCCCTCTGACGGCCAACAGTCTAATCCAACAACACACAGGACTGGGATGTGGGTCCAGTTATTACTTCACGAGTCTCCTCTGGTTTACAACGCACAGGACTGGGAAGTTTACTTCTAAAACATGCAGGTCTGGTCTACAGCTCTTAGGCGTTATATTACTGTTAACAGGATCCAACTGGTTAGCTAATGTTGTAAACAAAATTTGAGAAGGGGAGCTCTTGAGGTAAACTAACTAGAAGGGAAGCTAGTGCAGTAAACCCACGAGGACGAGGCTGGTAAACTCACCTGAAGAAGGGCGTGGCTACGAGAGGAGGTCTTGTTGGCAGCGGTGGGCTCACACGTCCTCTCCTTGTTGCCCCTTGTCAACAACTTCATTACCTGCAACACAGAAAATGGGACATTACCTGCTACACAGAAAATGGGACGTTGCCTGCAACACAGAAAATGGGACATTACCTGCAACACAGAAAATGGGACGTTTCCTGCAATACAGAAAATGGGACATTTCCTGCAACACAGAAAATGGGACGTTTCCTGCAATACAGAAAATGGGACATTTCCTGCAACACAGAAAATGGGACGTTTCCTGCAAAACAGAAAATGGGACATTACCGGCAGAGTCGAACTTCATTCCCAAAATGTCAATTTCTTCTGTGAACTCCGGGGTTTTGTCACCCATTTGTAAGCCTGTCCGATACGGCATGAGCAGTCTAGTTATCATCATTGCTTCTCTTCTCAGCCGTAAATGTGACCTGCCATCTCCTACCTGAGGGAGAAATTGCTGATATTTGGTGATTGATGAGTCTTGCAGCAGTTGGTATTTCTTCCTGTCTGTATGTAAACCTTAGAGTGCAGTCATCAGCATTGGCTTGAGCTTCAGGAATGAGATGAAGTAGATCGTTGAAATAAACATTCCACAGCAGAGGGCCAAGCACACTACCCTGTGGAACGCTGCCACCAACTGAGTGGCTTTAGGATTCTGCTCCATTGAGGACTACCCTTAGAGTCCGCTCTTCAAGATACTCTTTTAATAACACTAAGATGGAGCCTGAGATGCCTAGTGCTTGAAGCTTCACTACTAATCCAGAGTGCCAGACCCAATCAAAGGCTCCAGCTGTGTCTCGAGCAACAACACAGCTGATCTTGGACTCATCCAGTGACTGATGTCACTTAGTGGAGAGATTTACCAAGAGATGAGCAGCAGATCGGCATTTTCTAAAACCATACTGTCGATCACATATTAGCCGATGATGATACAAAAATTATATCATTTACTGAGCGATTAATGTTTCCAGAATCTTGCCAGTAATGGAAAGCAGTGACACAGGTCTGTAGTTACCAACTACTGAGCGACTCTTCTTTTTGTGTACTGGAACAACGTCTGCCTTCTTCCATAAGGAGGGCCACATTCCTCGAGCCAGGCAGAGTTGGAAGAGGCACGTGAGAGGTGGAGCCAACAGGTCAGTGCAGCTGTGTAGTAGTCTTGGACTGACCTCATCTGGCCCCGCAGCTTTGCTTGTGTCTAGCGTGTTAAGGGGATGGAGAACTTCAGCCTGCTGCATAACCACTTCAGTCATCCTTGACACAGTGCTTGGGGCAAGATGTGGAGGCTGACCTTCAGGATCAGGGACCTGCATCTTGGCAGCAAAGTGGTCTGCCAGTAGATCAGCTTCTCCTGATTGCTGGTTGTAACTGTTCCATCCTTAACAGTCTCCGCGGTGTAGTGGTAAGACACTCGCCTGGCGTTCCGCGAGCGCTATGTCATGGGTTCGTATCCTGGCCGGGGAGGATTTACTGGGCGCAAATCCTTAACTGTAGCCTCTGTTTAACTCAACAGTAAAATGTGTACCTGGTTGTAACAACGATTCTTCGCGGCGGGGATCGTATTCCAGGGACCTGCCCGAAACACTACACGTACTAGTGGCTGTACAAGAATGTAACAACTCTTGTATATATCTTAAAAAAAAAAAAAAATCCTCCTGGTCTTAGTCTTCAGGCGGAATTGTGCCCTCACAAGACTATCCCTGCCACCAGGCACCACCACACCATGAATCCAACCCTTCCAGATGCAAGTTTAGATGCGGGATTGTGTCCTTATCTCTCTCTCTCTCTCTCTCTCTCTCTCTCTCTCTCTCTCTCTCTCTCTCTCTCTCTCTCTCTCTCTCTCTCTGTCTCTCTCTCTCCCCCCCCCTCATTGTGTCCTCTCGTTATGTCTCTCACGCTCTCTCTCTCTCTCTTTTTTTAAACTTTCTCTCTCTATCTCTCTCTATTACACTCTCCCTGTCTCATTAAGATGAGAGAGGGAGACCTACATGTGAAAGTGAGCACGCGAGAGTAAACACACAAAGATGAGAATATGATGTAGAATACGTGAGGGAAAACGATGAGGTGAGTGCAAGAATGGGAGTATATTTACCACGCTGAGTGTCAACACTATATTTGGCCTATTTAAGCTTTCAAACAGAAATTAATAAATAATTAAATATTTATTAATCTATTTAATAATTAATTATTTAATTAATCTGTACCCTCCAGTTTTCTTAAGGCGGAATAATGCAAACATTGCTAGAATAATTGGTGGAAGAAGCGAAGGTTTGATCAATGCGGTGGTTGGTGCATGTCTGCTGGAACAACAGGTGCGTTCCTCACGTAAACATTGTCGCCATGGCAACCCTGGTCACGTGGATGTTGTTGATTTTCTGTTTTGATGTCATTTGTGTGTTGTCATGCATACGTACCTGTGGTGCTGTGTACCTGTGGTGCTGTGTACCTGTGGTGCTGTGTACCTGTGGTGCTGTGTACCTGTGGTGCTGTGTGTCTGTGGTGCTGTGTGTCTGTGGTGCTGTGTACCTGTGGTGCTGTGTACCTGTGGTGCTGTGTACCTGTGGTGCTGTGTACCTGTGGTGCTGTGTACCTGTGGTGCTGTGTACCTGTGGTGATGTGTACCTGTGGTGCTGTGTACCTGCGGTGCTGTGTACCTGCGGTGCTGTGTACCTGCGGTACTGTGTACCTGTGGTGTTGTGTACCTGTGGTGCTGTGTGTCTGTGGTGCTGTGTACCTGTGGTGCTGTGTACCTGTGCTGCTGTGTACCTGTGGTGCTGTGTACCTGTGGTACTGTGTACCTGTGGTGCTGTGTACCTGTGCTGCTGTGTACCTGTGGTGCTGTGTACCTGTGGTGCTGTGTACCTGTGGTGTAGTGTACCTGTGGTGTAGTGTACCTGTGGTGCTGTGTGTCTGTGGTGCTGTGTACCTGTGGTGCTGTGTACCTGTGGTACTGTGTACCTGTGGTGCTGTGTACCTGTGGTGCTGTGTACCTGTGGTGCTGTGTACCTGTGGTGCTGTGTACCTGTGGTGCTGTGTACCTGTGGTGCTGTGTACCTGTGGTGCTGTGTACCTGCGGTGCTGTGTACCTGCGGTGCTGTGTACCTCTGTACCTGAGGTGCTGTGTACCTGTGGTGCTGTGTACCTGTGGTGCTGTGTACCTGTGGTGCTGTGTACCTGTGGTGCTGTGTACCTGCGGTGCTGTATACCTGCGGTGCTGTGTACCTCTGTACCTGAGGTGCTGTGTACCTGTGGTGCTGTGTACCTGAGGTGCTGTGTACCTGTGGTGCTGTGTACCTGTGGTGCTGTGTACCTGTGGTGCTGTGTACCTGTGGTGCTGTGTGCCTGTGGTGCTGTGTACCTGTGGTGCTGTGTACCTGTGGTGCTGTGTACCTGTGGTGCTGTGTACCTCTGTACCTGTGGTGCTGTGTACCTGTGGTGCTGTGTACCTGTGGTGCTGTACTCACCTAGTTGTACTCACCTAGTTGTGTTTGCGGGGGTTGAGCTCTGGCTCTTTGGTCCCGCCTCTCAACCGTCAATCAACAGGTGTACAGATTCCTGAGCCTATCGGGCTCTGTCATATCTACACTTGAAACTGTGGATGAAGTCAGCCTCCACCACATCACCCCCTAATGCATTCCATTTGTCAACCACTCTGACACTAAAAAAGTTCTTTCTAATATCTCTGTGGCTCATTTGGGCACTCAGTTTCCACCTGTGTCCCCTAGTGCGTGTGCCCCTTGTGTTAAATAGACTGTCTTTATCTACCCTATCAATCCCCTTCAGAATCTTGAATGTGGTGATCATGTCCCCCCTAACTCTTCTGTCTTCCAGCGAAGTGAGGTTTAATTCCCGTAGTCTCTCCTCGTAGCTCATACCTCTCAGCTCGGGTACTAGTCTGGTGGCAAACCTTTGAACCTTTTCCAGTTTAGTCTTATCCTTCACTAGATATGGACTCCATGCTGGGGCTGCATACTCCAGGATTGGCCTGACATATGTGGTATACAAAGTTCTGAACGATTCTTCACACAAGTTTCTGAATGCCGTTCGTATGTTGGCCAGCCTGGCATATGCCGCTGATGTTATCCGCTTGATATGTACTGCAGGAGACAGGTCTGGCGTGATATCAACCCCCAAGTCTTTTTCCTTCTCTGACTCCTGAAGAATTTCCTCTCCCAGATGATACCTTGTATCTGGCCTCCTGCTCCCTACACCTATCTTCATTACATTACATTTGGTTGGGTTAAACTCTAACAACCATTTGTTCGACCATTCCTTCAGCTTGTCTAGGTCTTCTTGAAGCCTCAAACAGTCCTCTTCTGTTTTAATCCTTCTCATAATTTTAGCATATGCTGTGTACCTGTGGTGCTGTGTACCTCTGTACCTGAGGTGCTGTGTGTCTGTGGTGCTGTGTACCTGTGGTGCTGTGTACCTCTGTACCTGAGGTGCTGTGTGTCTGTGGTGCTGTGTACCTGTGGTGTTGTGTACCTGTGGTGCTGTGTACCTGTGGTGCTGTGTACCTGTGGTGCTGTGTACCTGTGGTGCTGTGTACCTGTGGTGCTGTGTACCTCAGTACCTGAGGTGCTGTGGGTCTGTGGTGCTGTGTACCTCTGTACCTGTGGTGCTGTGTGTCTGTGGTACTGTGTACCTGTGGTGTTGTGTACCTGTGGTGCTGTGTACCTGTGGTGCTGTGTACCTCGGGACCTGAGGTGCTGTGTACCTGTCGTTCTGTGTACCTGTGGTGCTGTGTACCTGTGGTGCTGTGTACCTGTGGGGCTGTGTACCTGTGGTGCTGTGTACCTGTAGTACTGTGTACCTGTGGTACTGTGTACCTGTGGTGCTGTGTACCTGTGGTGCTGTGTACCTGTGGTGCTGTGTACCTGTGGTGTTGTGTACCTGTGGTTCTGTGTACCTATGGTGCTGTGTACCTGTGGTGCAGTGCACCTGTGGTGCTGTGTACCTGTGGTGCTGTGTACCTGTGGTACTGTGTACCTGTGGTGCTGTGTACCTGTGGTGCTGTGTACCTGTGGTGCTGTGTACCTGTGGTGTTGTGTACC